GTAAGTCCCCCCAATCTTCCCTTTTTATTTATCTCTGACTTCCGATATATTCTTTTCTCACTTTCTTGTCTCAATCGTTTCAGAACTTCTGCGCCTCGTGCTGCTTTGGATGGATCGGTTTACTCCAATCTCGCTCATTTCACTCCGAATACAATTGCTCTGGGATCCTCCTCCCCCAAGCCTTCCATCTTCTCTAAATCCTCCTTGACTTCGGAAGCTTCTGCTATGATCATGGAAAAGTGTATCCTGCCCGAAGGAAGGTTCCACAGCGCTCGCCTCAGTGAGCGAGATGCAAAAGAAGTCCTTGATTTCGAACAGCATCTACTTGATAGTTGGTCTGGATCTCATAATTCGACATTAACCCAGCAAAATCGCCTCCGGCCATCCCAGATTTTTGTCAATGTATTTCGATGACTCGTTTTCAAAAAGATTATGAATTTCCAATTGCGAATCCATTCCCAAGCGTTTGGGACAACCTGACGTCACCGCCGCGTCTGACTGAAGGTAATGATTTGTCTTTATGATATCTGACGTATCATGCATATGCCACTGATTATCACGAGATGATCTTCTCTTCAAGGCTGGCTTTTCCATAACTCTTCCCATCGAGATTCCCTTCCGACGGGCTTCAATATCCTTGCAAGCTGTCTACTGCAGAATTTCAGCCCAGGCACTCCCATTATCCGAATCACGTAAGCAGATTTCCTCGTTGGATGAGTTGCATTGTTTCCTAAATGTTATTATTTCCATGCAGCAATCAACCGTTGCCAAGCACTTCAACGTTAGATGAGGCTGCTTTGTTTGTTGCCATGGGCGTGTCAACAATTGCGGCAACATGGGGTCATTGGACCGTCAAAGAACGCGTATCGCGCGCTAAATTTGCTCAACATTTGCAGGGCGTTAGCGTTCCTACTTACTGGATTTCAACATATCTTTGGGATTTTCTCACTTTTATCCCTCCAGCCATTGCGATATTTGGCGTTCTCAAGTTGTGTGGTGTGGATGATTTGGTCAGTTCACTTTAAGAGGCAGCTTTTCCTGTTTCTTCTTCTACTTTTCGCAACTTCTATATAGATGATCGTTTTTTTCAGGTCTCTTCAGCTTCGATGTCTGCTTTCCTCTGCCTCCTCTTTTTGTTTGGAGCAGCCGTTGGCCCTTTCGCGTATTTGATTTGCTTTCCATTGAAATCCCCCGTGGCTGCACAAGCCATTCTCGTGTTCTTGGGTTTGTCGCTGCCTTTACTGTGCACAGCAATGAGAAGCATTCCTGCTACGGCTGCCCCTTTATGATTCTACCCCTGCAGTTTTTCTTGATGCCTTTCCCTTCTGTCGCCTTCATGACTGTGAGTCTGTCTGACGAATGAGATTTTGTAATTCTGTGATGCGCTTTTATAGGGTCTGTCAAATGTAGCAAAATTCGACTACAACTCCAAGAAGAGTTCTTCCATTTGGAATCTTGAGAATGTGGGCTTGCCTGCAATCTATTTGGGCAGTGAAGCAATCGTTTACTTCACAACAGTTCTCTTCCTTGATCTCTTGTCTGTTCGGCCAATTTTTTGCTCAGAAATTCTACAACTTCACCCGCGGGCTGAAATTCTTTTTCTGCTTCTGGAAATCACCAGCGAGTTTTGATTCACCAGCGCGTCCGGAAAAACTGAAGAAACCATTTTGGAGAAGAATCTCTCTCAAGCGGAGACGGATGTCATTTCGATGCGCCGAAACTGAGACCGCGTCCGCGTTTGATCCTCGCGACATTCAGGAGAACAAATGGATCAATCAGTTACATTTAAGGCAAATCTACGAACGATGGAACAGAATGAGTTCCGTTCACCACGAACGTCAAGCTGAAGTCGTTTCTGAAATTCTGTCTCGTCGCAGCAGCCGGGTGGACATCCACCCATCGGTTGCGACGCTCCAGCTTCGCCAGTCCCGCGTGTTATCACCTCGAGCGATGACGGTGGGTTCCCGATGGGATGTCGCCTCTGCGGATGTTTCCGCAAGTCCTATTATGACGGAAGCGGAAGTGATGGGATTGCTCGATCTTGAGGATGACGACGTTGCCCCACGAAAGACAACGACTTATCCAACAGGAGGATCGTGAGAGGACAATGAAGAGACGTGGAATTAGGCATGATCAGGATTTCGATGATATTGAGGAAACTGTAGGAAAACAAACGCTTGGGGAGGGAGACCTTCTCGTCGTCCGGGGGTTGCGAAAAGTATTTCAACCAACAACGAAAAAGCAGAGAAAGCCCAAAGTGGCTGTTCGAGACCTTTGGTTTGGAATCCCCAAGGGACAATGTTTTGGGTAGGATCCCACTCTACCCATTCTGTTGGTATTCCTTTTGTTTTTTAGATTCCTTGGAGTAAACGGGGCAGGAAAAACGACGACTATTCAGATGCTTACCGGTAGTCTATGTCCAACAGGGGGTTCCGCGGTGATTGCTGGATTCGATGTTGTGACCCGGGCTTCTGAAGCTTGCAGAGCAGTTGGATCGTGCCCACAATTCGGTAAGGCGGTTCTCAAAATGTCCCTTGGGTCAATTGTCATGGCCAGCTTGGATTGTGCAGTGTGACTCTTCTTCTCATGTTATCTTGCAGATACGTTGATTGATGAGCTGACTGGCCGAGATCATATTTATTTGTATGGACGTCTCAGTCTCATTCCTGAACACATTCTAAAAACCATTCGCATCTCAATTAATTGAAAAATTAGGAATTAAAGAATTCGCGGATAGGCCGACAAAAACGTATTCCGGTGGAAATCGTCGCAAGCTGTCGTTAGGTTTGGCGTATGTTGGAAACCCAAAAGTGATTTTTCTAGGTACGGGCTAGAGTTGTCGTGTGCGTGGTGAAACAGTACAGATACAATTCTCGAATGCGTGCTACGAGGGTTGCGTCCTAAAGTCTTTTATCTCAATCACATTTTTCTATTGTTGTTACAGATGAACCGTCTTCCGGAGTGGATCCCGCGAGCAGACGGAAAATGTGGCAATTCATTTCAGAGACACAACAAGCAGGGCGTGCAGTTATCTTGACGACGCACTCGATGGAAGAGTGTGAGGCTTTGTGTGATCGAATAGGAATCATGCAAGCGGGACGATTAGTGTGTCTTGGATCTCCTTCCCATCTAAAAGCGAAATTTGGTGAAGGATATCAGTTTGAAGCGACGTTGAGCAAGCCAGCCTCTCGCAACCAGTTTGACCGGAAATCTTCTTTGGATTATTCAGAAGAAGAAACCGCTCAAATGCTTGAAAGATTTGCAAGTGAATATATGGAGGCACACTTTCCAGGTTGGTATCTTCATCTTGTGGCGAGTGTCTTCATCTTGTGGCGAGTGTCTTCATCTTGTGGCGAGTGTCTTCATCTTGTGGCGAGTGTCTTCATCTTGTGGCGAGTGTCTTCATCTTGTGGCGAGTGTCTTCATCTTGTGGCGAGTGTCTTCATCTTGTGGCGAGTGTCTTCATCTTGTGGCGAGTGTCTTATCTGTTTTTTGATCTCAGGATGCGTTCTCCTCGAAACGGTGGGGGCTTCATCAAAGGTGGCAAATACCCAAGTTGTCAACGACCATTGCTGACGTGTTTACCTTCGCGGAGAAATATAAAGAAGAGGCTGGAATCAAAGACTACGGCGTTAGCGAAACTACATTGGAACAGATTTTTGTTAATTTCTCAAAAGCGGATAAGGATGTGACGCAATAGAAGCACTTGGTCGCAAAAAAAATTAAAAATTGGTTTTTTCGACGTAATTTTTTGGTAGTGAGGCTTTCTTTTTTTCCAACTATCCGGAAGGCATTCGTTACTGCAGTGAGGATTTATTGTAGTGAGGACATTCTTTATTGTAGTGACGACATTCTTTATCGCAGTGAGGACATTCCTTATTGCATTGAGGACATTCCTTACTGCATTGAGGACATCTTTATTTTCGATCATTCCAGCACTTTTCTCTTCATATCATTCGATGACGATGAATATCATTGCAAGACAGTCTATTGAACAATTTCTATGCAATTGGTCGAGGACGTCTAAGTTGGTGAGAAGTAACCCCTCTTTTGAAAGGATGACAGAGAACATCTTGAAGTCGGCTCGTGTCCCAACCCTTAGGGAACAGATTCGAGTTCCCCCCATCTGAAGATAAATGAATGACGATGCTCGAGTTCAATCAAGCGTGCCTTCCATTCCCTTGAACAGCTTGTCTGCACAAACGCAGCGACTCGTTTGAGTATCTCAGATTAATCGCAGTTCGACGTTTTTGTCGAAAGCAGAAAGCGAGGGCCTTCACCTGCCCTGTAGACATAACCACCCGATTTGCGGGCCGTGTCAACTACTAATCCGTAGACTACTGACCCTCTAAGGATGGTCGCCATAATCCTTGAATAGATCTCGATTCGCTCCATAGTTGCGGCCCCAGATTGAGATAAAAACTCATTTGGACTTTCTGAGTTTCTGTAGAGATCAAAAATACGTTCGATTTGCCAGGCTTTTGTTCTGTTGAACATTGACGTTTTAGAGCTTCCATTTGCTGAAAATGATGATAAAGATAATAACGATGATGACGATGATAATAAAGATGATACAGATAACGATGACAACGATAATAAAGAAAACAAAGATAATAAAGATAATAGAGTCATCTGCCTACCGAAATAGAATGTTGCCCGTGGAATCAAATACTGATGATGGACGATGTTGACCTTTACTTGCGGGTTTCTGTTTTGCCAACGTGGAAGCAAATGCTCCAAGAAGAACCTCATTCCTAGCGATTTCATCGATGATTCGCTGAATTGAACATCCACAGATTTGAGCTGCCATTTTCCGAGAGTGCACATTTGGTGATGCTCCACCGAAAGAATAGGTAGGGGCCAAACATGTTAAGAAAAATGAAAATAATCGAAAACAAAAAAACTGAGAAAAATGAAGAAAAAACAACCCAGAGGGATTTTGAGACTAACAAAGCTAACACTCAGAAGCAATTCTAGAGCAATTCTACAGATTTCAAAAGTTACGACGACAAAGTTCCAAGTCTTATATATTTATGCTTGGATGCAACTGTTGTAATATACGTCTTTAATCCTCTATTTACAACCTCTTTTGCTTCGTCTGGTCCTTCGACATCTCCTTTAGACGCTCTCTGTTTTCCTTCTTCAACTTCGTAGTCTTCGAAAAACCTAAAAAAATTCAAAATTGAGATTCCAAATTCCAAACATGATTGACTCACCGTTTCATTTCAAGAGCAACGTGGGGTGAAAGCTGATTGATATGGGTGTAGATGTTGTACGCAGGATCAGAAACATTGACACAAAGAATTTTGGCGTCTTCTTGATTATCCTTCGTAAGAAATTTCATCAAACCAATTGGTCGCGCCCTGCAGAAACAAAATGACATTCAAGAGAACAAAACCAGCCGTCCTACCGCACGATACTTTTCGGTTGAACAGTCTCCTGCATCAACACTAAGCAATCGACAGGATCACCATCATCTCCTAATGTCTGTGGAATAAATCCATAATTTGCTGGATAGATTGTTGACGATGCAAGAATTTTCTTGACGAAAAGCAATCCAGAGGCCTTATCCAACTCGTACTTCACCTTACATCCCTTGGGAATCTCAACGACTACCTGCAGAGATTTTTAATTTAAGAAATCAAACAAGACCAAGCTTACTGGAAATACTTCTGGGGCGTCACGAACTTCGACGTCATGCCACGGATGAGTCATTTGGGAATACGCCTGAAGAAAAACCCACCGGTTACTGCTTCCTGTTTTGGGTCAGTAGGTTTAACAAAAAAGGGCGATTTCCTAAAAAAAGGTCAAAAATGGCACGCAACCACCATTCCATGGGGGATTTTCAAATTATACTGTTTGCTAAGCGCAATAATTGTAGCCTGCGATCAAAATTAATTTATTGTGTTGAACAACATTTTACACGCACTTGGACGTTTCGAAGTTTGTGTTTCACATCACGCGAATATTCATGGTCTTCAGTGAAAAGGAGGGATTGAATCATAAACGCTCTTGAATAAAATGCGATCACCTGGAAATTGAAAACAGAGAGAGTTAGAAACAGAGAGAATGGAGGATCAATGAAAAAGTTTTAAAGGGATAAATTGACTCATCACAAAGTGATGCAGACAGAAACAAGAATAGAAGTAGAGAATCGCTTACAGTTTTATCACTCGCAATTTGCATTGTTTGGTCTTTCGTTAATTGAAATGCTGGATAATGATGAATCAATGGTTTATAATTCCATCGAACAACTAAATATAAATCAGCCAATTCCTCATAAATCCAAGATAAACAACCCTGAGCAGCAAAAAACACTAACAAAAGAAAATAGAGTTTGTGTGCATCACAATTTGACCCCCCCTCCTGTTACTGCAAACTCTTACTTTTTTGGCATAACAACAGCATTCTGCACATTCTTTGAATCGCTTTGGGCAGATCGCCAATGAGAAGAAAATGTTCTTTGAAATGCGTTTCCATTCTAAAGTAACAAAATAATACCCGAAGCGTAGGAATATCATCTCCCATTTAGCAGATACAGGGCCATCAATGCAGGGCCAGCCATCAATCTTGCTACCTCTCCCGCTCGCATTTGTAACTACCAAAGATAAACGAACAAATTACCTCAAAGCAATCCAGTGATGCCTAAAATGTTTGTTCGTCTTCTCATCAATCTTTCTCGCCTCGTCCATCACTTCTCCTTTTGAACGGACAAGCTTTCCTAATAGATTCGTCATCATCGCATAAAATCAATAATTCCCTACCAGCGACATTATTTTCCAATTCCGAAGATTTGGGACTTCCTAATTCTTCGTCCTGTTCGTCGCTTCCAGCTTCTCTCTGACTCTCGGGCGTCGCTTCCTCTTCTTCTCCCTGTTCATCAAATCTCAAATCTCAATCCAACTCAATTTAAATTCACCTCAGACTCCATCGTTCCATTCGGCGAAGTATCTTTCTCAAATTCTTCTTCTTCCTCTGTTGTATCACACTCTTCCTCTTTCTCGTCTTGATCGACTGATTTGAGAGTCGAATCCAGGCACTTGATGAACTTCATCACCTTCTTTTCTCTTTTCAAAAATTTCTTCAGATTACTCTCATTTATTTTATATCCACAACTCGAACATATAAATGGTCGATACGAATACAGTCGAGCGATGACATCTGATGAGTTTGTCATAACTGCATCGTCACTGATGAGATCGTGCAGTTGTCCACAATAGTCAGCCATGGTGACGTCAACAGGAATCAAAACAGGAGGAAACGTTTGTCGTTGAAGTAATTCGCGATCGCGGGATGTTCCGGAGTCAGGATGAAGAAAAACGACCCCTTCTTCGCATCGTGTGCACGTGAAACCTCTAGATAAGTCCGCAGGACAAACGCATCGCGGACACGTGCATGTAAATCCCTTCGTAGTTTCTATAAGATGCTGCCTCATGTAGGCGGGCTCTAGTAAATTGTGCTCATCCAGATATGAGATTGTAATTTCCTCTCCAGCTCTGAAATGATTATTCCGCATCATTCGTCGACAATCAAATCTCACTTAATATCTAGTCGCGATCCCAGAGCGAAACTATCGTCTTCCTGAAGTCTCCAAACAGCATTCGGTAAACAAGAATGCGAGAAGAAAGAGGACATGAAATACGTCGCATAGCCTTCTGGTTGATCATGAAAATCGAAACAGTTGTGAACCCAAATCTGCGAGAATTCATCATTTCTGATTTCGAAAAATTGATAAACTTACCTGAAGCATACTCTCTAACTCGAATCGAGATACGATTCCATGAAGTCCCAATTTATCCATCAACACATCGACTATCAAAAAAACCATCATTGTGAACTCTTGCCAGGCATGGGTGTGTCAGACCATATCATCATTCAATCATCATTCGTACCTTCTGGGGAAATTTGATCCTCATCTGGCTTGTGTAGCATTTCCAGTTTTCGACGAACATCATCGTTGACGACATCTAACTCCGTCCATAAGCATTCATCGTTTACTACTTCGCAATTTTTCTGGCTCTGATTTTCTGTCTGTGGACAATTTTCGCAATTATTTTCTTTTGAATTGCCGGCAGAATCTTCAGTTTTGCTTCTCTTGAATCTTCTTTGTGCAGCGTCTGCTTTAGCGATCACCGTTGGGGTGATAATGGAATTTAATGCGCACCAATACCTACACGAAGACGAGCTCATGGCGATGCATAATGATAAACCATTTTGTAGCTTGTGCCTTGCCATTCGCGTCGATGTGCGATGGCAATTTTTTTCATGGCGAACATTTTCTGATGCTTACCAAATTGGCTCTAACGGAAAATCAAATTCCTTTTTCCACTCGCAGAGTTTTTGAAATAAAGCTTGCGTCGAATCTGCTAAAACTGCTCGTAATTGTGGCTCGATAAAAATGGTCTCTCCGCATTTGAAAGATCGAGTTCTACAGGAAGAAGTCGGAAAGAACTCATGCGTTGGATGCCACAATAAGGAGGGTCAGATTGAATATTTTCCAAAGCACTCATGTGTTGGAAAACTCTCGCAGACGGTTACTCACGCTATCAAAACTCTTCCTTTTCCCGGCAAGACCGTACATTGAATCTTTCCCTCATGGTGTTGTTGAGCATATTGATTGATGAAGTGCACCGAATCGCGAATATCAGATTGGCTCATCGGTCTACAACATCATTTACAGAGATGTCAGATATGAAGTCATCTCTGCTTACCACCAAGTGCCTATTCAACCTGTCATCACTATAGGAATCAGGTCTTGTGATGAAGGATGAGGAGGAGTCTGGTAGAGGACAGTCGTCACATCATTCCTTATCTTATCAGCTGGAGGAGTATGGTTCAGTATTACCGCACAATTCGAGGCTCCTGAAGATCCTCCCAGATGGATTTCCCCTTTTCGAGCCGACAGTGCTTGAAGAAGATGGAGAAGAGGAATGTGAAAAAGAGGCGAGCGACGCTCAAACTGTAAGTAAACAACTTGAAAATATTGTAATCACTTTGTACTCGTTCAGGCAGCGGCAGGTTTAGATGCAACAAACACGCTTCTCCTGAAAGTAAGAAAACGGCCCCGGCTGGGATTGAACCAGCGACCTTGTGGTTAACAGCCACACGCTCTAACCAACTGAGCTACGAAGCCTCAATTTTCTCGTCAATGTCAGGCCGAGAGAAGGGTCAAGGGAATTACTGGGGAGCTTGATTTACTTCGCCATCGTGTTGAAAAGTTTTTTATTGTTATGGATCGTGGTATTAGAGCAAAGCAAATGGCAATGGACCCCCTTTTCAGAAATCAACAAACGTGGCAAAGTGCTGAATATGGAAAAGGTGAAGCATTGAGGGATATTGTGAAGTTAAAAGATGTATTCAGTCTCGCAAGATCAGAAACAAATCCAGACGGAACAATTACTGAAAAACAAGTGAGAGCAAATCCATGTGTTTGTTTGTAAAGCTTGATTTATTCGTTTTTTGCACTCTAGTTGCAATTCTTGCCCGCGGTGAAACTTCCTGTTACCGAACAAGAATGGAACGCGACGGTCATAGCGATGACGAGAAGGCAGCAACTCTATCAGCAATGCTTGGAAACATCAGGTTGGCTGATTAGATCATTCATATGGGGAATTCTCGCTCTCCGTGTTTTTTCCGCAAAGGAAGGCCGATGGTTTATATCGTTGATATCGTATTATTTTTCTTTGTAACAGAAGCCGCAATTAATGAAATTCGTAAATCAGGGAAAGAGCAAAAGCGTTTTCTGAGTTTATTGAAAGACATTAAGAGTTACTGGAATACGCAAAAAATTCCATACGCTGCTCACGTTTATGAGAAAGGTGCGTTTTTGCTTCAACAGTTTGAGTGATGATTGTCCACTCCAGGAGACGACTATCCATATCGCGCGGAGATTCGCGTTGAGCTTCTTTCAATTCCCTCTTCATGTTGGGGATATAACAGACCTCAGAGGTGGACATTACCTCAACATGTTGGTGTAGCATACGTCCCAATTGGGACAATCGTTCCAGCTCCGTATACTTTGTGGCCGCCACTCCCTGCGGTCCCCCCCACAGCAAATGCATTGGCTGACGTTTATTTCACAAGATCAAAAACAAAGAGGAAATCAGACGAAGATGATTCATCCGCTAGTCAAGACGTGAAGATGGTTGATGAGAGTGAGACCCCTCTAAAGGTTCAGATTCGATGGGTTGGAGACGCGTCTCACTGTATAGAGATTGGGAGAGAACTCCAGATCAGGATTGTCCCAATTTCCATCATTCAGTGTGGGGATGATGGGAATGAAGTAAAAGTTAAAATGGAAGATCGAAATGAGAAAAAAGAGTTTGTGGCGGAAGAAAACAATCCAAATGATTTATCATCAGGATTTCATCTTCCAAATCTTCTTCCTGCTGCTGTTGGTGGAGAATCCCATTGGATGTCTGAATCGATCCACTTACATCGTCGCCTACAAACAGCTCAATGGCGACTTGTAGATCGTGCGATTGGTTTAATATGGCAAGCGCAAGTAAGAACGTCAATTATTTAATGTAGAGAGACAGTTCAATCAAATAGACCGCGACGTTCAATTAGAGAAAAGAGAACTTGTAGTTAACATTCTTCATTCTAGATCAAAAGAGAATTCCACATCGCGGGCACGTCGGTTCCTGTTGCTCGGACTCATTTTTGCGCTTTGTTTACTAATTCCCTCATTCCTGGTGGCTCTGTTATTCTTGAATTGTTCTGGTTGTCCAAAATCTCTCTGTTTCTACAGGCCGCTCGATTGAAAGATGTCTTGGATGTCGCATCATTCGGGAATCGAGAAGGATCCTCTTATGCAGCGTCAATTCTTCAAGAATTCGAGTCATTTCGATTAGAACTTCCTGTCGCAATTCCATTTGTAAAAAGCGACAAGACCGACATCCCAACTGTCAATCCAAAAGTCGTTCAGATATCTCGAGAGGTGACTGTCGAACGATGGGAGACCCATATGACGTCATTGTCAATGAGAAATGTCCCAATTTATGCTCCCTTGAATTCCGCGTCATCCCAACCACCAAAACCGAAGTTCAAAGTCGATCTCGAAGTCTGGGTCAATTATCTTCCGTCAGAAGAGTCCCAAACTGCCCCACCGATGAAACCGAATTGCTCTCCTGATGATGATCTGTATCTCAGAGAGTTTTTACGCAGGCTTCCTGTCCTTGAAGCGCTCTCTGTTTGTTATCTAAGACATCAATTCCTTCAGTCGTGGAAGTCTGCTACTCAGTTTGTCCCGCGTGCGTGCTTTGACCTTCATTCCTCTTCTTTGGTTTCCTCACGATGTCCCTCGGGCGATTTGCTCTTTGTTGACTTTCTGGATTGGCTACAGACGCATTTCGCGTCCCAAATGTTAACAAAGATCCCTAGTGCAATTCTTTTGTCAGAAATATAGCGCTCGTATACTGCATGCAGTCACGTCGCCTGCACCTCAGTTTTTTGAGAACGGAGAGGCTGAAGACGTGATGACCAAATTGTGGAGAGTTGCTTCTGCTCGACCCTAACATCAAATTTGATAATTACGCCTCTGAGGATTTTTGACGAATGAAGGGTTTCTATTCTGACTCCGAGCGTTCGCGTCGCAGCGGCCAATCTCTGGCTCATCCTGATTTGGCAGAAGTTCTGAAACAACCTGGAAACGAATATTGCGCTGATTGTGGAGCGAAGGGGCCTCGATGGTCGTCCGTCAATCTGGGTGTTCTTATCTGCATTGATTGTAGTGGAGTCCATCGCGGGATGGGAGTTCATATTTCTAAAGTAAAATCGTTAACTTTGGATAAATGGACTCCAGAGTGTGTCAGAGTAAGTCCATCAAATCGTTAATGCTAAAGGATAAATCGAGAATGACGTTGATGTTATTTTCTTAGACTGTTCGTTTAATTGGGAATGATTTGGGAAAAGCGTATTACGAATATCGTGTCCCAATTCAATACAAACGACCGACGCAAAGTGACGCAAAGAGGTGGGCGCGATCCGAAATCACTCGTATCTACGTCCCAAATCACTCCATTCAAGCTTCCGTGTTCCTTTCAGTGTGATTGACACTTGGATCAAAAATAAATATGATCGTAAATTGTTCGTTCCCCCCAATTCCCCTTCACCGTCTGAGTTGCTTGCTCAAGGGCAGGATCCCAATAATGCAGTCCCAGGAAGATCAGAATCAATTATGGCTGCATCACCATCCAGATCTGAAAATCTTTTGCCAATTCCGGAAGATTCGAAACAAAGGAAGAAGAAAAAATCGTCATCCCGACTGAACGCGTACGTTTTGCGGTTTTTCCAGTGCACGCTAGATAAGCGATGTATGGATGAGGACACGTTGTCAGTAGATGCGTAGTGTAACAGTCCTCCTATTTGTAGATAAGTGTGTGTGTGCAGCTCAGTAACAGTATTTCTCTACTTCTCTTTCAGCACGTCGAAGTCCTCTCCTGCATTGCACTCCTCTGCTGACACTCCTTCGCCTTCCGGTACCAAAGTGATCTCAGCGTCTGAAACTGCAGATCTTCTCGATGGTTTTCTCCCCGCTTCTACAGTAGATTTCAACGCCTTATTGTCTGATCCAGTCGCGCAGCAGCCACCTGCCGATCCTTCATCTGCAACAGCCCTCGACTTGACATCTCTCGATTTCAATGATCCGTCCCCTCCCACACAGCAAAGTAACGCGCAGTCGCAAACAGGTCAGTTCTTAAATCAGCTCTCAACTCAACTATCCTCCTGTTTTTACTTGTTAATTTTCAATTTCAATCTCGTTCATGAATTATTGATATCAATCCTCCTTTTTGCAGTTTTCGGCTTCAGTCTCGGACCGCCTTCCCCTCAGCAGCTTCAAAAATCAAAATTAGAAGCGGCTCGAGTTTCTCTGGAACAACTTTTCGATCCCGCAGACCCACTAGGTTGGCATTAAATCATGAAATGTCTTTAAATGATAAATGATGAAATATCCTTAAATGATAAATGATGAAATATCTTTAAATGATAAATGATGAAATATCCTTAAATGATAAATGATGAAATATCTTTAAATGATAATGATGAAACATCCTTAAATGATAAATGATGAAATGTCTTTAAATGATAAATGATGAAATGTCTTTAAATGATAAATGATGAAATGTCTTTAAATGATGAAATATCTTTAAATGATAAATGATGAAATATCCTTAAATGATAAATGATGAAATATCCTTAAATGGTTTAACTTACAACTCTATAATGTCATCAGTTTGTCATTTCGAATTTGTTTGTTTCTTTCAAGGTTTTGGGACTCCCTCATTTCCCGTCATCGCTCCCATTCCTCGTTCTTCACGGGAAACTTCTTCAAGCGCGTTCAATGACGTTTTCACTCGATCAATGAGTGGAATCCAAGACCGCAATCACGTTGATGCTTCATCTTCTCTCCATCCATCAAAACAGAATTCACCAAAGGAGAATGTTTTCAATTTCGATTTCGGCTCAATCGATCAGACTTTTGCAAAGGCATTCAATCAACAATCAGCTGCTCCAGAGACTTCAAAGGAGGACCTTCAATCGGATAAAGCTTTCAATAGACAACCCTTTGATTTTTCAAACTTTCATTTCGGCAATCCCGTTCCAAGCCAAAAGACTGCCGACTCGAAACAAGATCCTCTCGAGGGGCTTTTCTAACTTTCACCAGATCTATATCAGTTTTTCACACCTCTCCCCTATTTTCACCTCGCCTCATTTCATTGGTAAAATTCATTGGGACACGCACCGTCCTGTTCCGTCAACTTTTCTGTTCTATTTTTGATCAGCAATCCGACTTTGTTCGCAGTCCCACGCTTTTTGAGCTTTATCAATTCAAACAGCCCTCCTTGATAAATCACCGATATTTTTCGACTTGACGATTTCTGTTATGATATCCCTGATACCATGTAAGGACGCGAATTCGAACGGACAGGCTCCACGCACCCGTACAAGCACATGAAAGCATTCATCCCAGCTAGATCTACAAACTAGGGTACAGTCAATCGAGGAACAGAAGCACGAAATAGAAAAACTCAGTTCCTTGTCTTGTTGCCTCCCATCCGTTTGTTTTGTTTCTTCAACTGTTTTCTTGCAGTGTAAGCCTTAATCGACGTATCCATCCCTCCCCCTAAAGATTTCAGATTCACGTAAACAAACAACAAGAGTTACACCTGTCACACCAATTCCCTTCAGATAACTCTCATAAGTGCCACATGTAGTTGCTAATCACACAAGTTCTTAATCTTACCTGAAGTTTTCATTTTATGAATTTCTTCTCTGTCTTGATTTAATATTTTAACAAATCGTTTATATCCTTGTTCAAGCTTCTCATCGCGGCGATTTTTCTCCTTCGCTTGCATCGCACCGAGGAACTCGGCATCACGGCGCAACTGAAAGAACAAACGTTACAGAAGCAATCATCTCTCTAGATCCTCAAAAAACAGCAACTTACTTGTCTACAAGCGCCTCTACGCGCGTCCTTCGTCTCCTTCCTCAGCTTCTTCGCTGATACTTGTTCTTCTGTGGCTCCTCTCAGTCTCAAGTATCTAGCTCCACTCAAATTCCTTGGGTCAACGTATTTCGGCGTAAGCATTCGGATACCCTGCATAAGCGCACAGACGAGAGCTGTGATCAGGCGGCCAGCAGTCTTGGAGGCCATCCCAACATACCGGTACTTTGACATCAGCGAGGCATAACGGAGAGATTGTTCGCGAGGCTAGAGTGATAAATTGCTGATGTATTTCCGCGATAAGAGCTCGCACTGTTTCGGACAATTGACATGACAATAAGTAGGTGGTAGTAGGGAGCAAGACATTCATCAAAATCACATCAGGAACACCAGAAGCCTAAAAAAGAAGCCAAATGATTTCCTTCGCAACAAAGTGGGAATTGTTGTGACAAATGAATCGGGTAAGAGGGTTTAGTGAAAACTGACCGCGAGGGATTGAATTGTTGACAAAATTGATCGAATTGTTTGCGATAATTCGAGAATTAACGAGCGCTGAGAATTTAAGTTGATGATTGATGAAGTTGCAATCGAATGCAACAAACCACAAGCTAATGGTAACGCTGTATTTGAATAGGTTTTGCTTGACTCGATGACTATCAGCTGAAGTCCCAAGAGGGCGAGTCCCAAACCAATTTGTTGATCTAACACCTTCGGGAGATGACGGGAACTGACATCGGGGTCTGAGTTCATTTGATCGTTCCTGATTACGGACGATTTGGAAACTGGGTGAAAATCGACGTTATGGATTTGACAAACAGCAGAGGACCAGCTATTGAGGAGAAGAAGCGCAGGCGCTAGAAACAACCGTCCAGAATTCAAGTCGCGGGGGAAGATTGCTGATATAAGGAAGACCAAAGCAAGGTCTGAACTGGTTGGCAAACCATTCGACTGTGGAGCACCAAAATCAGCAGACTCAGTCCATTGAGCGAGACCCTTAATGTTCTTGAGATCGTCCGTGAGGGACCCTTGAGCCCGCACACAAGCACCGACAAGCCTCGAAACAATAAAGTCTGCCATCACTCCTATCATCGACTTTCCCTCTTCTCCAAGATCGACTAAATGTTCCTGCAGAAAGACATTAATCGATATATTTGAAATCGATATATTTGAAATCGATATATTTGAAATCGATATATTTGAAATCATCAGTCGACAAAATGTGTTGATGCTGCGTACTTGCAATGTTTCGACTAATTGGAACGCGTCGTACGATCCGGAATGTTTTGTGTTGAATGATTCTAACTGTCCCTCAAATTGGCGGCTCAACGAATCCTCCAAATATTCTAATAAATTCCTCAATAATTGCCTCCGTTGTTCTCGTCCTGCTGGATTGATTGAAGGATCAGTTCCTATCCGGAAACTGAAGGAAAGAAATGATCCAAAAATAAAAGAGTGATGACGAATATAAGAAGAAATGATCCAAAAATAAAAGAGTGAATGTAAGAAGATGATAGATGGGATCAACATACCGGTGTATCAACTTCCACTGCGATTTTGGAAGTTCTGCTCGTAGCATTTGTTGAAAGTCTTCTGATGAACTCGGCAATGAAACTTTGTAAGGAAGATGTTTTTCGTTTTCATCATTAATCGCCCAATCGGGTGTAAATTCATCAATCACGATGTCGTTATTCTTCTCGTCATCACTTTCGACACTCTTTATTTCGTTATCTCTCGAAATGTCCATCCCTGTCTCATTGCAGGGGGTCTCTTCTACATCGTCTTCCTCCAAAACGTTTTCCTCTGGACTTTCCTCATCTGAATTCTCCCCAGAAGAAGAAGCTTCATTTTCTGCCTCCCCCTCCATCAACTCGCGAGCGTCTGCTATCGAGCTTGTACCGTCCTCTTCATCCTCCTCCTCATTGTCTGTTTCAGACTCTGCTGCTGTCTCTTCTCCGTCATTTTCATCAACACTTTCCGCTCCATTGCAACTCTCTTTCGTGTCCAACTCCAATTCTACAAAACAACAGAATATTCAGGAATGTACTTCTCACCGACTCCTCATTGCATTTTTCATTCTTGACCTGGACCCACTCACCAAATTTCTGTCGTGCTTCTTCTAGTGCGGCCAGTCTAGCAGCACGCTCGAAAGCTAATTCCTTCGCTGTTTTGATTCGATCCTAATTGATGAAAGTCATACGAATCATCAATGGAAAAGTTCACTCACTGTTGGTCGCGTTCTTGCATCAAACGCTAAAGCATTCATGAGTTTGTCGTAATCCGCATCATCATTTGCGCCGTTGAGACCGCTTTCCTCCCTTGCAGCCTTCAGTCCTTGCGCTGACCTGTGGGGCACAGTTGTTTCAAATATTAATATGCTATTTTTGTTTACCACTTAGTCGGTCGAAAACTCAGCGAACTGTTTAACTCTTTGAACGCTGAATCCAGATGATCCAGTTGATCCTCCTGTTCATCTTTTTCTGCAGCCTTTTGCGCTTTAGCCGCTTTTGACTTCATTATAATTTCTTCATAAACTTCCTGAAATCGATGAACTATCGATCAACGACATCGAATACAAACAAAATTACTTTTCTTGTTTTTTGGGAATCTGTTTTCCCTCCACCGCCAAAATGAACATCCACCGGCATATCCTCCCGCTCCCCAGTCCCAAGCAAGTCATCATCCACTAAAATAGAAAAATGACAGATAGAACTCAACAATGCACTCACTCGAATTATTCCAACTTCCCATTTCTGTCTCGCATAACTCCATAACAGGTCTACCGCCATGAGTGATAACCAAAGAGTCATCTTGGGATCCCAGATGCGGACCCCCGACGGATTCTGTCCCGCCGTCCAAATCGGACAAGGCGAATGAGCGTTTAGCGGCGTGGGACGCGCGTCGCATTCTCAGCTTTTGCATCCGCTTTGCCGATTTTTGAGCATCTGAAAGACCACTTGTTGTCTCTCCCAAACGCTGATCAATGAAATGTCCGCGGCGTCCCTCTTTCCGCAATTCCATCAACAGGGACAAATTTCTCTAAAAAGCGGCCCCGGAATGAATGGCGTACTCTGGTGGGACCTACCTTGACATTTTCGACAGCAACCTTCTTGCGATTACGTTCGTTAGGAAGCTTTTCCCCGATTCTCGGCCGCCTGGACTTCTTGTTTTGCTGAAGCTCGAACGGGTTCATTTCCAGGTCTGGGACGCCTATCCTAATGGCACAGCTTAATAAAATATGCCCCAATAAATTCTAATATTCACTTATAGCTTTTGTATCAATGCAACCAGACAGAACTTATTCCGTTCGTTGGGTAAATGCGTTGACGCGATAACTTTTATTTGGACTTCATTTTCAGAAGAAACACAACAACGAAAGTGACTCTCGTGTAAAGGCGGTGGAGTCAGACGCAGCAGTGACCGAACAAATTGATTTTTTGTCCGATTTAGAAGAACTGATTTCACAGCGCGAAAAAGACGCGAGTGATGTCGGAGTGAATGACGATATTGAGGATTTGAGAAATGATGAAGTGTTTGTTCCTTTAGAGCGATTTAAAAAAAAAGGAAAATTGAGCGTGACAGGTTTGTCGTTATCATCGGGTGTGAAATATGAGTCGGAATCGCAGACTTGTCGGCTCAACTTTGGTGCGAGACGCAGCTGGAATTTGTTTTGAAAACTGGTAATGTGTTGTTTTGAGTTTTTGAAACTGGATTGATGATCGCAGGAAAGAAGAGGCGGACGAAACAAATGGAAAAAGGAATAGAAAGGCAGGTTGCCACGATTTGTTTCGAAGATAACGATTTGAATGTCCAGACATGAGGTGTTAGAACGGGAAGACCATGAAGTTGTTGAAGTTGAAGTTGAAACAAGAGAAGACGATTTAGGGATCCGATTGTTTAACACAATTGTCCTTCTACAGAGATTAATGATTTCAGGTAGAATTAAATAGAAATTGATGGAATTAAACTTGATGGATCTCTTGCACTGATTCAATCTGGCAGGAAAGTCACGAGAAATTTGGGTATTCGGCGACGTGGATGGAGTTTTATTGAGAGGAATTATTGATGAGGTGAGGTAGATAGATATTAAGAAAATAAACAAGAAAGAAACCCGTTCCTTTGGGGAAGCAAGCTGCACAGCGCGGTGATTCGAAGCTAAATCTTCCCTGTGCATTTTGTTTCTTTTTGTTTATGTTTATCAGATGGAGATTCGAACTGACTCTGGAGTAAAGGAGGTGAAAAGATCTCACTCTGTGCATTTGCGGCACTAAGGGTGTTGCAGTTGGTTATTTCAGACACGAAGACGCGTTCAGATCAGCGAGAGCCTTCCCACGCCCAGCAACAAACCTCAGCGTTGCAGTTGCAGCTGTTAGTTTGCTCATTCTAAATTTCATCTTAACATCAATATCTTAGGTATCAATGGATGGTCAATCGGCTCATGTGCCAGGATGTTGATTTTGACTTCTTATTTCGAACATTTCGGGTGAGATACTACTTCATATGGATGTGTCTCTGTGTGCGCCAATAAATATGTCTGTGTGCGCCAATCTCTTATTAAATAAATATGTCTGTGCCAATCTCTTATTAAATAAATATGTCTGTGTGCGTTCTTATTAACACGTGAATCGGTCACGGCGTCGTAGTCAGTTTCAAATTTGCGAAGTGATCTAATTCTGTCTCGTTAACATCGTGGTGTATATTTCAGTGTAACCCTAATGCGCAGTTTAGTGTAAAGATCCTTGAAGAATTCGACAATCTTCAAGTGCTCGCTGATGTTTTTAGACAATGCTTCTCAACGCTACCGCCGCTGAGAGACTGTAAGAACTCTTCGTACAATAATTGGTTTCTTTGCTACCGACATTTTCAAGAAACATTTTTTGCGCTTGCAGACGTCGAAATTAGTTACGAGTGCGAGTCGAGGGAATTCTCTCGCAAAAGGTAAACGATTCATAAATATGAACTGTTTTTATTTTTTTGTTTTTTTTTTGATTTTTAGAATTCCGTATTCGGAGATTTCTACCCTCTACACAACTCGAGGATTACTTGACTGGTATGGGTGCACGCTCACACTTGCTAACTCGTTTCAAAATTATTGATTCTTTCAGGTGGAGGGGATCACGAACAGCTTCTGAGCATGTGATGATATCTGAAAAGTGGAAGTGTAAATGGTGCGATTTCGTGCAAGATTGTCGAGTCACCCCGCTGACATCTGAAGAAGTCCAACGGGCAGTGAGAAGTCGTGAAATGGATGCTAACTCCACCAAAGCAATGCCCCCCAGTGTTGAGCCCGTTGAAGTGGTTCTGAATGGGCCCAGCAATGTTGACTCCACCAAAGCAGTCCTGCATCGGCCTGCCAATGTTGACTCCACCAAAGCAGTCCTGCATCGGCCTGCCAATGTTGACTCCACCAAAGCAGTCCTGCATCAGCCTGCCAGTGTTGACTCCACCAAAGCAGTCCTGCATCGGCCTGCCAATGTTGACTCCACCAAAGCAGTCCTGCATCACCCTGCCAGTGTTGACTCCACCAAAGCAGTCCTGCATCAGCCTGCCAGTGTTGACTCCACCAAAGCAGTCCTGCATCGGCCTGCCAATGTTGACTCCACCAAAGCAGTCCTGCATCACCCTGCCAGTGTTGACTCCACCAAAGCAGTCCTGCATCGGCCTGCCAATGTTGACTCCACCAAAGCAGTCCTGCATCAGCCTGCCAGTGTTGACTCCACCAAAGCAGTCCTGCATCAGCCTACCAGTACCAAAGCAGCCCTGCATCAGCTTGCCTCCACCAAAGCAGTCCTGCATCGGCCGGCCAATGTTGACTCCATCAAAGCAGTCCTGCATCAGCCTGCCAGTGTTGAATCCACGAAACCAGAGGATTCAGGAATATTCCACAAGGAATCACCAATCCATGAAAGAACACAAAAATCTGAGGCAATTGATGTTGTGTCAGGACACTCCAAGGCAGTCCGGTCCCCTCATTGTTGCGCCCATTGTTTTCTCCACTAACTGACACTCCAAGAACTCCAAGTGACACTCCAAGAACTCCAAGTTACCCTCGTTTAAAGCTAACAAGGGAACATTGTCTCAAACCGTGGACAGGACCACAGTTTGAGCAAAAACTTGGAAAATCTCGACGAAAAACAACGAAGTCTAAGAATTGTCACGCAATGGACCTCCGTACATGGCTACTGCATTCTAGTGACTCGAAGGAGGAAAAAAAAGATGCTCCTCCGAAGGAAGATGCATCTCCTCAAAAGCAAGATGTGTCTCCTGTTTTGTCGCCACAAGTAGAAAGATCGCCGCTAGCCAAGCGGTTGAAAACTTGGTGACAACACAAAAAGAGAGTTGACATGCAAAATACTGCACCACAGATCAGGCGACTGCTACGACACTGCCACTTTAAGCCATGACGACCGAAGAGATTAAAGTTTGTTTCAAGGTGAACACCGGCAAAAAATTTGACTTGACCCTCGCGCCGAGTTTAACGGTTCTGGAAACAAAAGGCTTAGCGGAAACCGAGAGTGACATTCCCTCTTCCCAACAGCGATTGATTTATCGTGGTATGAACTGTAATTCTTCTCAGCTGCAACCAATTTCTTGCTTTCAATTTCTTGTTTTCAATTTCTTGTTTTCAATTTCTTGTTTTCAATTTCTTGTTTTTTTCTGACAGGGCGCATCCTTAAGGATAGTGATACCCTAGCAAGCTACGGAATTGCTTCCGGCCATTCTATTCACTTAGTGGGTGTCTTTCTTTTTGTTTGCTTCTATCGCGCGATTAATGCAGGTTCGCTCAAGCGGTGGACAACCAGTGACAACTGATGACTCAACTGCCAATACGACCTCTGCTACCCCTGCGGTCCCGGGACTGGGAAATCCTGCTGGAAACCCTTTTGCTAACGGATTTCCCGCTGGCCTTGAAGGCCTGCTAGGTAGTTCAGCTTATTCATCTAAAATAGAAAATTGTTAAAATAAAGGCATTCTGATGTTTTAGGTGCTGGTGGCGGTTTCCCTGGCATGAATCCAAACGGAATTCCCGGAGGGATGAATCCTGCGATGTTCCAATCTTTATTGTCGAATCCAATGATTCAAAACATGATGCAAGAAATGATGGCAAACCCCGAAATCTTCAGAATGGTGATGCAACACCCCTTCTTAAACCAAATGGCAGTAAGTAAAGACTAGAGAAGCGTGATGAGAACATTCAGCAATGTTAGAAAAACGAATAGTAGAGGACGCGTGTGTGTAGCTCTACTTGAACGTTCTGAAACTCTTGATTCTTTATTGCGCTTGTGTGATGTAGGCGTCAAATCCAATGGCTCAGTCGATGCTGCAAAACCCTGAATTAATGCGAACGCTCTTCACCCCCAATATGATGCAACAGGCAATGCAGCTGCAACAATCGCTCCATCAAACTCCTCCCACAACGACCACCACAACGAATCCTGATGGAACTACAACTACAACGACAACTGAAAGAACTGCAACAACCACATCAACGACTCCAGTTCCACCATTGGGCGGAGCACCATTGGGCGGAGCACCAGGGAACAACCCATTCGCCCAGGGATTAGGCGGAGGAGATATGCGAGAAATGGTGAGAACCGTGTTCTTTCGGATCCCGACTTGATGTCTCAAGTGCAAAAATATGATGAGTAATATGCCAGCAGGAGCATTTGGAGCACCAGGCGCATTCGGAGCACCAGGAGCATTTGGAGCACCAGGTGCATTTGGAGCACCAGGGGCATTTGGAGCAAATGCAGCAGCAGGAGGCGGGGCGAATCCTGGAGAAGCGCCGAACATGGCGGCTTTGCTGGGAATGATGTCTGGTGCAGGGGCTGGGGGGATGCCCGCTAGTAATGTGCCGGCTGGTGAGAGGTAATTAAAGAAGGAAGAAGCTTTGAATTTATTCCTTTATTTTAGATTTCAAAATCAGCTTCAGCAATTAGAAGGTAAATCCTGATCTCTTGCAGTTCAGTCGCATCTTTCTTTTAGACATGGGGTTCATCGACAAAGAAGCGAATCTTGTGGCCTTGCAGCGTTGCAACGGCGACGTTAATGCTGCGATCGCGTGGCTGTTGGAAGCTGGACATGGAAGCTAGATCTGCAAAGTAGATCCTCAACTTTCATGCTGAATGCATTTAATGTGCAGAATGCATTTATTTGATGCTCTTGAGTCTCAGAGTGGCCAGACATGAGAGCTTTTTTCATTTTGTCTTCATGTTTGTAGTGAAGAGCCAGGGAGAGAATATTTTCTTTTGTCAAAACCCATACAGAAAAAAATAATCAACGCAGCTAGCTAGACATCAAGTCAACAAACTCGTAGAAGTCAACGAAGCTGAAGAGCAAACAACAATTTTGAGAACATAAATTTGACGCTCAAGAGCAAACACACAATTTGAGAACATAAATTTGACGCTCACCCGTCTCTGTTTTTGTCGATTTCACTGAAGATCTTCTCTAAATCCGAGTCAGTCAGTTGACCATATCTCGTTCCCTTTAATGCCGTTCTAAGAGACCCGATCGAGATTCTTCCTTCACCAGTTGGATCAAATTTGTTGAACACGTTACGAAGCTGCCAAACGAGGTGATTTCAAGAGGACATTCGTGAGTTACCTGAGCTTCTTCAAATTTCATTCTTTTGTCTAATAATGCCGAAATAAATTCTGTGTAGTGAATTCTATTTGACCCAGAATGAGCCAGGGATGCAAAAATTTGTTCTAAGTCGGCTTCAAGAATTGCATATCGCGCTTGCTTCACGCCTGAGAGGAGAGATAATTAAATACTTAAACAATCAACATCCCATAGAAAGAGAAGTTAATTAAACAATTACACAGATGAATTATCCCATAGACAGAACAGTCCGAGACAGTTGTTGTCTATCTAATGTAATTAGTGCTTAGTCTACTAGTGCCACGTACTGTAGCGCAATTCTTCTAAAGAGATGGTGCCATCCCCACGCCCATCAAGAGCCTCAAACTTTCGCCTCAAATCTTTAATCTCTGATTCACTCAATTCACGCGCCATCAACTGTAACACGGCTTGTTTTAACTTGTTTTGATTTTGCCAGCTTCTCAACCCTTCAAAGACGGAGGGTGTCAATTGGCTGCTAAATCCTGTACGAGGCTTCGACATCAATCTACAAGACAAAGTCAATTGCAATCTTTTTAATCCAGTTTGAACAACATTGATGGTACAGTAGCTCTATTCTAAGATCTATCGAGAGTCCCGGGGATATCAAAAACATTATTCGGGTAGACTACCAGAAGACCCCGTCCCATGCCCATGAAATACCTGAACCACGGATGATCCAGTGCTTGTCGCGCTGAACATCTTTTACGAGGGTCTTTTTGGAGCATCCACTTCATCAAATGAATAACTTCTGAACTCGCAGCTTTCCTAAAATTCCCAAAGAACAGAATTTCATACCAGAGGAGCGCAAATTCATCACAGTCGGAGCGACTCTGGGGTGAACCATTGAACGGGTACTCAGTCATTCACTCATTTACTCATTCATTCACTATTGATTCATCATAGATTAGAATCACAGTGAGTTCAAGCATGACCAACATTATTGAATCTCA